GATGCGCTCCCCCAGCCATGGGGGGAGGCATCTGTTACCAGAGTCATACCTGCGGCGAGTGGGTCCAAGGAGGCCCCTCTGCCGAGGTTGGCCAGTGACGACCACCAGGGCAGGTCTTCCCTCACTTGGTCCGAGATCGAAATCCGCCTATCTAGTTCCCATAGGAGAGCTCGGCGTTATAACAAGCATTATACCGGGCGGCTGCGTAGTGCGGCCTGGGGAACAACCCTTCGAACCGAGATCATCATTCCGATGATCCGCATTAGTTCACGGAGGGACACCGAGGGAACGCTGACTAGGCATTCGGCTAGGCTGCTTAGCGCTGAGCAATATGCTTGAAATAGCTAAGCCAAGCTAACCTCTGTGTCAAAACTCCATGCCCAGGGACACCAACTGCGCGTTGGGTCGAGGTGGGACGATTTACTAACGAGTCCAACTGGTGAAGTAAATCCTGTGTTAGCCTGACGCGTTTGGCTATTAACCCCTTGCCCGGGTTGTTGGTAACCAGTAGTCTGGGTACGGATTGAGGTGTACAGACATCTGGTGAAGCAGCAGCACTACCTGTTTCATCACTCTGGTGAACACGTAGGGCACTGTGCCTAACCCGATCGGGGGGGCACCCAAAATTCGAATACTTGGCCCAGCTGGGCAATTCGAAGAAGATGGCAACTCGCTGGGTGCATCGGTACGTGCAGGTAGGCCCTGCTTAAGTCTAGCTGGACTAGCCAGTCAAAACCGTGGATGGAGAGAAGAAGCCTGAATGGTGTCTCCATCTGGAACCGATCGAGGAGCATGTACTGATTCAGTCTGCCTAAGTCCAAAACTGGACGCCTGCCACTTGTAGATTTGGTACTACGAACACATTTGGGTAGAAGCCTGGACTTAGTTCTGGCTGATGTACCCTGTGTATGGCGTCTTTCCCCAGCAAACTGCTACTTCCTGTCTGATTGCTTCTGCCTTGCGGGAGTCCCCTGGCAGTGCTCAACAGAGGAGACACTGACGAGGGGAAATGGAGATTTCAGCGGTATCCCGTAAACGGATGTCACCACCTGGAAAGGTCCAGGGATCGGTCACCCGCCATCTCCAAATCGGACTACACAGGCGCAATCTGTGTACGACAGGGATATGTGGCCATGTGTTCAGCAGTTGCGAGGGAGGGTGCTCCCTTCCCCCATGAGGTGAGTTCCCCAAGGCCTGAAGTAGTCACTAAGTTGTGACCTGGTCACTAACCGAACACGTGCCCTCTGTTTGCCTATGGCAGGACCAACTGGCTAGCGGATTCGATCTGAACCCTCTGGTTCATTGCACTCCGAAGCTCAGAGACTGTACCCACCATTCCCTGAACAAAGAGGGTGGAGGATGTCCAGTCTGTGTCACTGAGGTGGGGACGTACCGTGGCTCAGCTTGTCGGCGAAAACATGTGTGTCTAAGGCCGCGTCTCGTAGCACAGTAGTGGCCCCGGTCAAGAGAGCCAGGCGACACTAGGGGGTGTCGCATGTAGATGTGCAGTGGCCCACCAGTAAAAATGTCGCCTGGTCTAGGAGGCTGGTGCGTTAGGCCTCCAAGGTCTCCAGAGTCCTGGGCATGCATAATAATGTGCTCAAGCAACTCTGCCCTCAGGGCTGGATGGGTGGTCCTCAATTGGCAAAAACACCCATGGAACGCGGCTATCCCCCTTTGCCCGGTTTGCCAAATTCATAGTACCGGGGTCTGGGGAGGAGCCTTGGAATCCGGTTGGGGGCATTTTGGTCTCATCCCACGCTCTGGGGTCTGATCCCGAAACCACACCGACCGGGTAGCGTTTGGTCCAGTGGGAAGTGTTGCCTAATGTTATCCCCACCTGGGGGCCTTAAGCATTACATCCTCCGCGGCTGACCAATGCCGCCCATCAACACCATTTGCAGACTCTGGACCCCACTCCGCACTCAGATGAACAGGGAGAGACG